CTCATTGGCATACTATGAGCATATGAAACGCAAGGGTCTTACACCAGATAATGTAGTCTACACAATTCTCATTGGTGGGTTTTGTAGAAATGGTTCTATGAAGGAGGCTATGAAGATGCGTGATGAAATGCTGGAGCAGAGTTTAGTTATGGATGTGGTGACTTACAATACTATATTGAATGGGTTATGCAAAGGAAAGATGCTTCATGAAGCTGATGAGCTTTTCAATGAGATGTTGGAAAGAGATGTAAATCCTGATTTTTACACTTTTACCATGCTTATCAATGGATATTGCAAGTTTGGTAACATGGAGAAAGCACAGACCCTGTTTGAAGCCATGCTACTGAGAAACCTCAAGCCTGATGTTGTGACATATAACAGCTTGATTGATGGATTTTGTAAGGTTGGTGATATGGAAAAAGCTTTCAGTTTAAGGGATGAGATGATCTCTGTAAATATTTCTCCTAATTATATTACTTATAGTATTCTCATAAATGGCTTTTGTAATAAGGGTCGTGTAACTGATGCATTAAGACTATGGGATGATATGATCATCCTAGGTATCAAACCTACTATCGTGACTTGCAACTCTATTATCAAGGGATATTGCAGGTCTGGTGATGCTTCAAGGGCAGCTAAGTTTCTGAACAAGATGCAGTCCCAAGGACTATTTCCTGATTCAATTACGTATAATACTCTTCTTGATGGGCTTATAAGAGAGGAGAATATGGATAAAGCGTTAGATTTGGTTAATGAAATGGGAAAACAAGGTCTGTCACCTGATGTTATTAGCTATAATACCATACTGGATGGTTTCTGTAAATTTGGTAGAATGCAGGAAGCCAACATGCTGTACCGGAAAATGGTTGAGAGGGGTATTAACCCTGACAGATACACATATACATCATTGATAAATGGACATGTCTCTCAGGATAACTTGAAGGAGGCTTTTCGTTTCCATGATGAAATGCTGCAGAGGGGTTTCATTCCTGATGACAAGTTTTAATCACCTTGCTGTTTGAGCCCACTGAAGTGTATGACCGTCAATTTCTGCCGTTTCTGTGTATTCTGCTTTTTGCAGTGCCCTCTTCTAAATTTGATATTTTGACATTAGGGAATTGCTACCTAATGTGAAATATGCTTGATTGATTTGAGGAGAACTATGGAGAAATCACTTGCTGGAACAGAAACTTATGGGTGCTCAACTGGACATCTGCTCTCTAAGGAACTGTGTATTAGTGAGATATTACCCAGACAGAGAGCGGTGCTTCTTCAGACCCCTCACTTGTTGCCATCTGTATATCTTGATTGGTTAAAGAGAGAGCTAGTGAGGGCCGGAATGGAATATCGTATGTAGTGTTAAATCCAATCTGAAGCTCTTTCGAACAAGCGAGGAACGAGTGACCACAAGCTCCGCTTAAGCGCAGTGCTAGGCGAGGTTTGGAACCCTACCATCTATTCTCTATGCATCTCAATTGCTTCACACCTCTACTTGGTAACCTCCATACAATGCCCCTTGTTTTGTTCTAGCCCTATTCTATTACCAGACATAATTGGGAGAAGCTCATCCGAAACTAGAGCTAGAAACACTTTATTTTGTTTTGTTTCCGCTCTCTAAGGAACTGTCTGTAAGTAATACATTATCCAGACACAGAGCCGTGCTTCATTTTCAGAAATGTGCTTTTGGCTGCGGTGACAAACTTAAGAGGGCTTTTTAATAGAGCTGTGATTAAGATTGCCATCAAGATTGAATATGCAGAAGTTCCTCTTTCATCTGCGAGTTTGATAGTTCACCCAGTGGACTCACAATTTGTCAAAGAGCACAGTATGTACTAAGTTTTGACCTTAGTTTCTTGGTTCCCCTCTTGTTGCCACTTCCTGGTGATGTTATTATCATGTTAGATATCACATATAATATAACCACTACAAATCAATATATTCCCCACATAGGTTGCAACTTTTGCAAACAATGCATAATGTTACATATAGCCAATGACTCTCTATATTGGATATTGTGTTTTCTTGAGCTTGTGTATGGTATGGTGTCTAAACCTATGTTGCTTGGAATCTTCAAGAATGTCGTCGGGTGTGTGTCAGATCCTCCATAAGTAGTGTATTTTTTGAGGATCCGACAGGGGTGCAACAATATTCTTGAGTTTCTTTTGATTGTTTACTTGGTGATGTACACTTTGTTTGCTTGTGGTTCCTAGTTATGAGTTATGTTGTCTTTGTGGAAAGCTGAAAATTTAAACCAAATGCTTTTGCTTCAGGAACGATGACAGTGAGATCACAAGTGAATCAGAAAAGTTATCCATGGCTGTCTAGCGTTTGCTGTGAATGCCATTCACGGTATGTTGATGACACATGGACTGGCTGCCATTACTTTCTCCTGATTAGCTGGTTTATTAATCTGTTCATGACCACATGTTTCATCAGTGAGCAAGAATTGCTAGTAGCAGTTCTCAGAAGTGTATCAAAGATCCAGTTGCTCTTGTGTTATCAAACTAAATGAGCTTCCATCATACTCAATTGACCATAAAACTACAACCCTTCACTAAATTTATGTCCGGGACTTTTTGGAGAAGTGATTATGAACTGATCAGACTTCAAGAAGATCTGTTCCATAGATTGATTGAGGACATAACTTTGATTGAGTTCCTCAGGTTACAGATGTCTGGACTACTTGAGTTACAGTGGAGAATATATGGATAGATTATATATATAGATTATAGTGTACAGACAAAGAGTTGACATATGGTTACTGTGTAAAACTATAGTGTTGCAGTACGTGAAAATTTGCTTGGTTCTTTTATTTGAGTTGGACAATGTTGAAGTAGTTTTTGCCATAATGCACATCTCATGAACAATTTGGCACCAGTTGGTTGTGGAAAGTGTTCAAGATTGGATTTGAGGTTGATGAAAGTTTTATTCATAACAAAACAAGTTGTACATTTTTTCACACCCATGACAAGTAAAATATTTTCTCCCTTTCATTTTTATTTGTCCACTTTTAACTTTACATGTCCTTCAAAAAATAATGATTAATATTAGTATTAAACCACAACACTCGTACTAGTTGATTTATAATTTTAGGTCTTGAAAAACTGATTTGAGTAATAACAAATTAATATTTAGGGTAAAATAGAAAAAAATAATTTTTTTTAATATGTTTAAAATGACAAGTAAAAATAAAAGAGACAAGGATTAAAAATACACCACTTTTTTTTTTTAGTTTCATACATAAACTATTGAAAGTGTCAATTTTGTATATAAATTATAACTTATTAGTTTAACAACTACACATTACTTTTATTACACTCTCATCATGGTGTGTTTTTAGGTATAAAATTCAAACATAATTTCAGTGTGTTTTTGACATTTATCTATTTTTAAAATAATGAACATATAAAAATAATTGAGAAATATTAACAAAAGGTGATTTGATGTTTCAAAGTCTATTTAATTTTCAGTTTTGAGTACCTTTTTATAAAAGACAATTGAAACACTACTTTTTCCCCAATTGTTTATATCAAGGATAATGCTGGAATGCTGGAATCAGGGGCGGATCTATGAAGGGGTGTGGGGGTGGCGTGCTTCGACGGAAACTGGAAACTCTATATACACATAGGTGTATATATATATATATATAATATTTATATAATTATAAAGTGTGCCACACAGAGAACAAAATCGGCTTGTGGTGCCACGGTAGGAGGGCAACTTTAGAAGGCTTATGTTGCGGGTTCGAATCCAATTTGTACCTATTTTTTTTAGAAATTTGCTGTAGACATTTTTTAAGGAAAAAAAAGGCTCGAAGCACGTTTTATTTTTAAGCACGTTTAAGGAAAAACAACTAGCACATTATTTTTATTTTTTTTATAATTGTTATTGACTTAAATTAAATTAATTGCATTATTACTCCTTTGACATTTCTTTGATTTGATTAAATACAAATAAAAGTGTTCTCTTTCTCTTCAACTATTTCCAAACCCTTCTTCCTCCAAGTTTCAACTTCTCCAAAATTTTCATTGCCCCATTCCGAACCCAAATTACTTGTTGTCGTTGCCGCCCACCGCCCGTCTTAGCATTCCATACAACAGCTAAGCCTCATTTGGGTGCTATTGTTTTCACTTTTCTGCATCCATCCACAACCTTTTATAGATTGTAAGTTTGTAATTCTATTTTTGTAAGATTTTTTTATTTCTATTTCTTGAGTTCTTTTAAGTTTTAACGAGTGATGATTGATTTCAAATTAGACAAGAGTTTTGATTTTACTTTGATATTCTAAATATCTAATGAACATTGTAAGACATTATTGGTTAAAAATTGTGTGATATGAACCATGTTAATTTGAATTAACTATGACTTACCCTATTAAATTTGAATTAATTGTGAGTTGAATTGAATTTTAATTTTTGTAGGAAAGTGTTCTAGTTTTGTGAATTGAGATGGAGAAGTTTCTTCCGAAATTTAATCATTTGCAAGCAAGTTCTAGTACGCATGTCGATCCTTCTAGTCTTATAAATGACCTTAATTTAGGTTCACTTGAAGCCGATCCAAAAAAAAGAGTACCAATTGCTCACTATAACCCTCGAATAAAGGATGAAGTGAGAAAACATTATATTCAAAAAGGGCCTTGTCAACCTAAAATGGATTCATATCCTCCAACTAAAATTGGATAAAGAATGCGTCGATTTTGTAAAATTTGGTTTGAAGGTTCATATTCTAAATGGTTGGAGTATAGCGTGGAGAAAGATTATGTCTATTGTCTATGTTGTTATTTATTCAAAGATGATTTTTCCATGGAAGTACAAGTGAGTTTTACACAAAAATGGGTTTTAGGAGTTGGAATAGGGCACGTAAAAGATTCCGTAAACATTGGTGATGTTAATAGCATTCATAACAAATGTTTCAACAAGATGCTAGATTTGTCAAATCATCATCAATCAATTCAAGTTGTTATTGATAAGCATTCTCAAAAGTAAAAAAATGAGTATCGAATGCGTTTGGAAGCATCAATTGATGTGTCAAGACTTCTTTTGCAATATGGATTACTTTTTCGAGGTCATGATGAAAGTGAATCTTCAACTAATCAAGGCTTCTTTCTAGGATTCTTGCGATGGCATGGGGACAAACATCCGGATGTGGGAAAAGTGATATTAGAAAATGTCCCACAAAATGATACTTTGACTTGTCCTATGATTCAAAAAGATATTGCCAATGCTTGTGCAAAAGAAACATTGAAAGCAATAATTGGGGACTTGAATGGAGATTACTTTGGTATATTAGTTGATGAGTCAAAAGACATCTCTCACAAAGAACAAATGGCTCTTGTTTTGCGTTTTGTTAATAAGAATGGTGAAGTAGTTGAACGATTTATCGGTCTTGTCCATGTTAGTGATACATCGGCATGTTCATTGAAGAAAGCGATTTATTCTTTGCTTTCCGTTCACTCACTAAGTCCATCCAAAATACGTGGACAAGGTTATGATGGGGCTAGTAATATGAAAGGAGAGATAAATGGGCTCAAAACTTTGATTATGAAAGATAGTCCATCGGCATATTACATTCATTGTTTTGCTCATCAATTGCAACTAACACTAGTGGCTATTGCTAAAAAACATTTGGATGTTGAAGACTTTTTTGATCATGTTAGTAATGTGTTGAATGTTGTTGGAGGATCTTTCAAGCGTAGAGACTTACTTCGTGATCACCAAGCCAAAAAGTTAGAGCAATTATTTGAATCCGGTGAAGTTCAAAAAGGCCAAGGATTACCTCAAGAACGTGGGCTTCAAAGACCAGGTGATACTCGTTGGGGATCACATTTCAAAACTTTAGATAACTTTATTGTTATTTTCTCATCTATTGTTCATGTTCTTGAAGTGATTGAACTTGAAGGGTCCACATCAAGTGATAGAAATCAAGCGAAGTATCTTTTGACAAGGATTAAAACATTTAAATTTATTTTTGTGCTTCACTTGATGTTGAAAGTGTTGGCAATGTCAAATGATGAGTAAGATTTTACAAAAAAAAAAGATCAAGATATTGTTAATGTCGTGGAGTTTCTTAATATTACAAAGAAAAGATTGCAAGACATGAGGGAAAATGGATGGGAATCTTTGTTGGATGATGTTTCCTCATTTTGTGATGTGCATGATATCTTGATTCCCAAGTTGGATGAGTCTTATTTTCCCGGAAAGTCAAAACGTAAGTTTTCGGGTGTTAGTTATGCGCACCACTTGCATGTTGAAGTCTTTTTTATTGTCATTGATGAGCAACTTCAAGAGCTTAATGACCGTTTTGATGTAGTGAGTAGTGATTTGATTCTTGGGATGGGTAGCTTGAATCCGGTCAATTCTTTCTCTAATTTTGACAAAGGTAAAATCATGACTTTAGCAAAGTGTTATCCAAGTGAGTTTGATGATGGAAAAATTCGAGATTTAAGCTACCAACTCGATACTTTCATTATTCATATGCGAAGTGGTAATCCCAAGTTCTCCAACTTGCAATGAATTCGTGATTTGGCAAAGGCATTGGTTGAAGCAAATCTTGCGGAGACTTATTCACTTGTTTATTTACTTTGTAAAGTTGACTTTGAGTTTACCTGTTGCTACGGAACTGTGGAGAGAGCATTTTCGTCAATGAAGCACATAAAAATGAAGTACGGAATAGTATTGGTAATCAATATTTAAATGATTGTCTAGTGTGTTAAATAGAGAGTGATGTATTTATAAATGTTAGTAATGATGTCATTATCGATCATTTTCAGAATATGAAAACTCGTCGAGGACAACTGTAAATGAATGATGAATATTTAAAATATTAGTAATATTATTGAAAGTTTTAAATTTGTTAACTTCATGCTTTTAGTGTGGAGTGTGGATTTGTAATATCTTATTATTTATATTTTATTGATTGATTTATGATATATATCAAAAAGATGAATAATTTAATCAAATATAAAATTAATTTAATCGATAAGTCTATTTGGCATCCACGAACTCTAAATCCTGGATCCGCCACTGGCTAGAATGCTGAAAAGATACCCCTCTATCCCAGTAGTGATTCCACTTAATCTAGCTTTATAGATAATTATATAGTATTCAAGTCAAGTGACTTTCAGTTCAATCTCATTTTTCTTTAATGAAAGTTATTGGTGAAGTCTAAGACATTTTATTTCAATCTCATTTTTCTTTAATGAAAGGTAAAGGTGAACTCTAAAATTTCTTATTTCGATTGTAAAGTAAAAGAAACGTAGAATGGACATAATTTCACTAGCGGTTTGTGTTTTCGATTCAAAAGGAATGAAAAATGAAATAAGAATATGTATGCACTATTTATGAAGTGGATTGGTTATCTTTAATCTTCTTTTTCCTATCTTCTTCTTCTTTTATACCTTCAACTATTATCGGTTAGCAAGGCAAAATCCAACATTAAATTTGTTTGAAAACTATCATGCTTTTTTATCCAAATTAATTTCCTTTTTTAGGAATGCAGGGAAGAAGTCTTTTCTTTAATTAATTCTTGAAAGCCATTAATCCTTAGTTCTCTCTCGCGCGTTCTGCATCAAATAAGAAATGCATGAAAGAAGTCTTTTCTTTCTATTGATTCTCTAAAACTATCAATTCCGACTTCTCTCTTGCGCATCAATGATCCCAATAAAAGTCACTTGAAAACTTTTTTTTATTAGAAAGTTCATACGGAAAAGAAATTAATGATTAATATGATTAAGTTTTGGATAATTGATCAAACTATTTAAAATGTAGCCATGGATAACTGATTCTTCACACCATCTCCTCATCTTGAATCTCTCAACTTTGGCCTTCCAAGCTATCATCAACATGAAGAAGACCTCCATTGATTCTAATAAGATCCTCCCGATTCTCTTTGTATTATCATGACTTGTGTAGCTCAGGATATCAGTCTAACATAAATTGTGCTGACCTTATTACTAATTGCACAAGTTCATGGTGAACATATAATGTGTGTTTGATATGAAAGTAGAATGAAAAGAATTATCTAGTATTATTTTAGTCTTTAGTGAAATTCGAATTTGAAATCTCATAATATAAGGATAAGGATGATAATGCGGCGGGGCGAGGTGGATTTAAGGCTATACGGGCGGGGTGGGTAAAGATTGTGTGGGGTTGGTTAAAGTGAGTTTCTTAAAAAACTATTGCGGGGCGGATCGGGTATATATGATTTATGTGGGTTCAAATTTAATTTTAATTTTGTTACATGTTATAAGAGTGATGAAACATTTTTTATTAAGACAATTTTCATAAAGCTAATATTCAAGATAGTAAATGAAAAATTGTTTAATAAAATAATTCAATTTCTTACATGTTTTCCAATTGAGTTCTAAAAAAATAAAATTTTAATCTATTAAATTAATATAACTTCATGAAAAAAAAATTATTTTTATAAATTTTATTTTTAGTATCAAACTTAATTAGAAAAAGAAAATATTAAAAATATTATGCGAGACGCGTTCATGTGGGTCGGATCTATGCAAGGCGAGGTGGAACATGTTGAAAATGAAAAAAATTATTATGCGGAGTAAAACAAAATAGATTAAGTTTTTTGTAGATTAAACTCAACCCGCCCCCTCCAACCCCCACCATTCCATTGCCATCCCTACTCATAATTTTCAACCCCTTCATTCTCCCTTTAACCCAATGAAAGACGAAGAAGCGCTGACAGATGGAAGGGCTAGTTACTTTACATGACTTTTCAAATTTACAAAAACTAAAGTATAATAATATTTTATTTTTTACCATTGTCTTGGTCTCCCTTGAGTTCCACAATAATGTTTGCTTATGAAACCTTTTTTCGTGTGGCTCTGATCTCTTTTCGATTGCTTTTTATAAAAAGTTTTTTGATAGGAAGGATTTTTCTTTGAATGGAGTGCTATGCAGTATGAATACGGTCAATGGTAGAATGAGATTTTTCAATAAGAGAAAAAATTAACACACTAAATAACGAAGGATTCAATAAAGAGGGCTATCCGAACCCCTAATGGTAAGGTGTTCTCCACCACTGAATAGGCATAGTCAGCTTTGATGTGGATATCCAACCCGGCTGAAAAATCAAAATAAAAATATCTCATCTTCCACGAGTAGTACTATTTATACGTATTATATGCCCTTTGATGATATTTGTGTGATTGTGTCTGTCCATATTGATCAGACTTGTTATTTATAAGAATCCCAATTCCGAAACTCTCCAATGTTATCATCCATTTACGTCGTCGTCGTAGCCTTTTTTTCATTTCTCATCGGTCTTCTCTTCTACTTCATCCACTTCCGATGGACTCCATCGGCACTGGAAAAACTTCACCGGAAACTTCCACCAGGTCCACGAGGTCTTCCGATAATCGGCAATCTCCACATATTAGGTTCCCTCCCTCACCGTACCTTCTACAACCTCTCCAAAACCTACGGTCCATTAATGTTCCTAAAACTCGGCAACATTCCAACTGTGATAATTTCATCGCCGGAGACCGCCGAGCTCATATTGAAAACTCACGACGCAATTTTCGCAAGCCGGCCAAAGCTGAAGGCGATAAATTACATGGTTGACGGTACTAAGGGTTTAGCGTTTGCACCTTCCGGTCCACGGTGGCGCAATAATCGGAAGTTTTGTACTCAAGAGCTGCTCACGGCGGAGAAAATCGGGTATTCTGCCGGGATGAGGAAGGAGGAAATTGGGGTTTTGGTGGAGAAGGTGAAGGGATTTGGGGGTGAATTGGTGGTTGTGGATTTGGGGGAGAGGATTGGGGATTTGATTGGGAATATGACTTATAGAATGTTATTTGGAGAAGGGAATAGTGAGAGATTTGATTTGAAGAATATTGTCAAGGAGATGGTGAGATTGAGTGGAACTTTTAATGTTGCTGATTATGTGCCTTTTCTTGAGCCATTTGATATCCAGGTATGTTTTCTATAGTATTTTCTCCCTCTCATATCAGTAAACAAAAAAACTTTTGAATTTGACGTAAATATTAATTTCGTATTTAAATTATTGACAATCTTAAAAACATATTTCTACTTGACTAGCTAAACTTAGATACATCTTTCTATTTGACTAGTTAAACTTAGATACACCTTTCTACTTGACTAACTAAACTTATATACATCTTTCTCTTGTAGGTGCATAAGACTCTTAATAAAAAATGAGAGAATTGTTAAAAATACCTTTAAACTTGACGAAAATTTAGGAGTGTATTTCATTTATGTTGTAAGATCGGAGGTTGTATTTAAGTTCAGTTAGTTAAGTAAAGAGGTGTTTCTAAGAGTATCAATAGTTCGGGAATAAAACTAACTATTGGCGCCTAGTTTAAGGATATTTTCAATACTTCTCTCTAAACAAAATGGTTAATTTTACTAATTTACCTTTTATCTATATTGATGGACATCACGATGATTTATACTAGCATATGACATGTGAATAAATATAATTGGAATGGCTACAAAGTAATTAATGAACTATAGATTAAACATAATTGAAAATTACCATTCTTGACGAGATTTTTCATAAGTCAATTTGGATTCTACATTAGCCAATTTTTATGAACTAAAGTGGGCTAGGTTGAGAGAGACTCAGCTAATAAATGAGTGGATTAATAACTCACTCAAACTTAGGCGAGTTAGTGAATTATGTATTCATGGACTAAATTTTGTCACCTTGAGATTGCTCTACTTAAGTGTCATGCGTACACCAATACGGGTTCCCTAACCCAGAGGTCTCGAGATTAAACTTTTATGTAATATATTTTGGTCATACACATGTGTGATTTGTGAAACCATGGATGTTCAGGGCTTGAATAAGCAGTTGAAGGAAACAGGAAAGCGTGTTCAAGAAATATTTGATACCATAATCAATGAGCATGAACAAGATGCTAATAACTACACTCACAAGAGCAAGAACAAGGATCTTGTCGATATCATGTTGTCATATCAAGATAATCCCAACTCATCTTACTCGATTGATCGTGCAACCATGAAAGCTATCCTTTCTGACATGATTGTTGGAGCCATCGATACTTCACACACTTGGATAGAATGGGTGTTTGCAGAAATCATCAAGCATCCAACAGTAATGAACAAACTCCAAGACGAGTTGACATCTATTGTAGGACTTGATAGAATGGTTGAGGAAGATGATTTACCTAAGTTGGAATACTTGGAACTAGTGCTCAAGGAAACGTTCAGGTTACATCCTGTAGCGCCTCTTTTAGTTCCTCGAGAATCAATAGAAGATGTTGTGATAAATGAATGTTACATACCAAAAGGATCACGGGTTATGATAAATTGTTGGGCGTTAGGACATGATCCTAAGATATGGTCGGATAACGTTGAGAAATTTATTCCTGAGAGGTTTATTGGCAAGAACATCAATCTTCGTGGACATGATTTTCATTTACTACCATTTGGATATGGGAGAAGAAGTTGTCCAGGAATAAATCTGGGGTTGATTACTGTCAAGTTGATAGTTGCACAATTAGTACATTGCTTCAATTGGGATTTGCCTGATGGCATATTACCTGATGATTTGGACATGACTGAAAAGTTTGGTTTGGCAGCTCCAAGAGCTCAAAATTTGCTTGTTATTCCTACTTACCGTCTACTCTGTTAAAACGTTATGCATCCTATTTTGTTCTGTTTAAAATATATTTCTATCCTAGTCGCAAATTTGTCCAGTAGGATGCGTCCTACTTTGTTCAATCCACATTTTGTGTCTAAGTTTCCTCTTTCGAGTTTCATTAAAGATTATTCATTTATCCTATTGATCTAGAAAATAATGGAATAGTAATCACAAGATTAAACGAAGAATTCGTATGGTAGAAAAGCAATAACAACTTAAATTAGGATACAATGTTCATACTTTGGACATAATTAATTCTAGAATAAGGGTGTTTAATCACTCAGAGTATATGGTCCCTCTTTTGTCCATCTCGAATTGGAGGGTTCACTTTGTTACTCATGGTATTGAAAAATTTGAAACTTCGGTTGTTGATTTGGGTAACATTTATGAACTTGACACTTCAGCTTGTATGGCCTCATGTATATCACTTGTACTACAACATGGAATATCATGTATATCACACATAGAAAAGATATACATTAGATGTATATATATCAAATGTTTTCTAAATAAGCTTAAATAGCACATTGAGTCAATTTTCTTTTTAAATCTAAAATAGCTCAATTATTCACTGCTTTTCTTTTTCTATCTTTGACACCCTCAATTCCCTTTTTGTCAGCTCCACTCACTCTTTATGATATGACTACTACTATAAAAGTAATTGATGGCTAGTACAATTATCTCTACTTTTTGTCATTCTCTACACTTACCTTTTTATTGCAAGCGAAGTGGAATTTCTCTTATAATCCAATGGCTATTACAATTATTTGTCCACTTCCCATCTTAGTATTGTTATGTGATATTTTTTTTTAAAAACTCATTAAGAAGATGAATTGTTGTAACATATATATTATATAAATAGCATATATACGTGATTATACATTATTTATATAATATCGACACATTATATATTTTCTTATATAAATCTATGGAATGAGTGGATTGTCCATTTAGTTAATACATGAACTACTTACATTCATATATACATATTTTCTAGGTTCAAAGAACTATTTAGATAAGAATGTATCTATTAATTTGGGCATTTATTGTTGATTTTTGGAGTGATTTCTCAACCTATAAATAAGGTTGTCATTCACAATTATAAGAGACACTCGAAGACATATTGATTAACATGATCTCTACATTTTACTTTTCATATCTCGTCTTTGTTTCTTGTTTTATATTCCTCATATTTTATAACACGTTATAGCATGAGACTCATGCCAATTAATATTGATTTTTAGTTTTTTCTTTAGCTCATGTTCTGATTGATCTCGTTATGAGAATTGAGAAGGGAAAATAATAACTACTGTAATCGAGAATATTCTATGCATAAAATAATGTATGTATTTTGTAGAATCTTTTTTATAATTTAGAAATAAGTTTCAATCGATACTCTACAATACAACAGTGTTCGATCACTAACATTGACCAAGAACCAAAGACATATGTTCCTACTGATTGAATATTCTATACTCCAAAAATTTCTTAAATGGAGAAGGTATATGAAGTTCTACGACATGAGTTTGAGTATCATTTTGATTACGTAAATTTTGAGTGCAAGTGTTATATTTTTCCTTATTACAATTACTTATAGGGAAAATTGTGCATAATGGCAAACTATTAATTTAAAATAAATAATATAGCTATTGTTTTATTTATTTCCTTTGAGTAGCTACAGTTTCGGCTAATTTGCTATTAATGGGTCCCACAATTTTGTATAAGTAATTTTTTTTTGAAGTTATTCCTTTTATACAATTCTCTTCATTCCCATATCCTTCAATTTCTCCTAAATTCTCTCCCCAAAATCTGTTTGAATTTCAAATCTTCACCACTACGCTTCCAATTGTGGCTTCAAAAATTTCAGGTACAGGCAAAACGTGTCTAAATCGATTAATTTAAATTTTATCTATTTTTTTTTCAATTTTTCAAGTTATCTTTCATATCAATTCATTATCCATACAGAGTTTTCATTCGTACAATGGATGCTCAGTCTCCATCTAAAAGATTTACAAGAGGTATACAGTTTCATGACAAAAATATTGTTGAACAACCATCATTTTCCTTGGGTCTAACTCAGGATTTTGGGAAGGTTGCAGGTTCAATGGCAAAATCCAACGCAATGAAAGAGGTCAGATCCAAATTGAAAAATGACCCAATTAGATTGGAGGAAATTAGTGTAAAATCGAAGCAATCTTACAAAGATAAGTCTGATGTTGGGTCAAGCAAAAAGAGGAAAGTATAAACAACTGATTATACAAGTGACAACACAAAAACAAAGGAAGTGGTTGTTTCTGGCTCATTGGAGCATGATGGGGTGTTTTGTATAATCATTAATTTTTATATGTTACGATTGTATATTATTCTTATATTTTCCCTGTATATTTATGTCCTGCATCTGTTTGTTTGTTTGTTTATACAGTTGTGTGTAATCACTATGTTTAATTTACAAACTTAATGTATAAATAGCAGTATTTCACTATACATACAATATAAACAATTATACAATTGAAATTGTTTGTATAATGTATAATATCAATAGTTATTGTATTAACAGCAGTTTAACAATTTCTCTACATATACAATATAAACATTTATACAATTGAAATGGGTTTGTATACTGTATATTTTCTTTATAAAACTTGTATAGGTTATATTCATTTAAAATCTATTTCATACATTTTGATATATGTATTTGTGTCTTAGTTATGTATATATGTATATTTAGTAAAACTATATGCCATTTTTTTTCCCCAAACCAACACCTACACCTCACATGCAGTGTTATACAAATGTTCAAGTAATGGATGTGTTAGCTAAAAAGCTTTCTGAAACTCAGTTTGAACGCTTTTGTGGAACCACATATTTTGCTCAATTGTCTAGCATTCGTAGATGTCATGTGCAAGCACAACTTACTAGGTGCATATTTTTTAGAGAGATTGAGGGTAGCTCAAAAGATGCCATCCTGATACATGTAAATGACACCACTCTTCGATTCACCATTAAGGACTTTGCTATCATATCTGGTTTAAAATGTTCACATAATGAGTCAGATTTTATTTTTAATATTGAAGAACCAAACATGATTATTCTTTATAATTTTGATGTTGAAAAAGCCATCACTAAGAAACAATTGGTTGACAATTTTTCTAACAAGGTTTGGGGTGATAATGATGATGTGTTGAAGTTTGCTATATTGTTTTACATACATACATTTATCCTTTCTGAAGAACCAACAACTATAATAATTGATAGGAAAGACTTTGATTTAGTTGAATCAGGCAGATACATGGACTACCCATGGAGTAAAAAGGCTTTTGACCTTTTGATTCTACATTTGCACACCAAGATTAAACATGATGGAAAGTATTACAGATTATATGGTTTCCCACTTGCTTTACAAGTATGATTTTACGAATGTTGTTCGAATTTAGATGAGCAAATTGTTGTTAAATTATCTGACCACATTCCTAGAATCCTCAACTGGAAGACGAAAAAGGATTTCCCTCATCTAGATTACTTCGCGAAGGACGTGTTCAGAGATGACAACAATACGGTATGAACTGTATAAATATATGTATAAGTTTGTGCCCTGTACAAATATATCTATAACTGTATAAATATATACTTGTATAAATATATGTATCAGTTTGTTCCCTGGGAAAATATATGTATAAATGTGTGCACTGTATAAATATATGTATAAGTTTATGCCCTGTATAAATATATCTATAAGTTTGTGCCCTGTATAAATATATCTATAAGTTTGTGCACTGTATAAACATATGTATAAGTTTGTGCACTGTATAAGTATATGTATAAGTTTGTGCAATGTATACATGTATGTATAAGTTTGCACACTGTATAAATATATGTATAAATTCGTGCAGTTTATAAGTATATGTGTAACACTTTAGATTCGAGGAAGGAAAAAATTTAGATTTTCAGAAGTTGCAGGTGCCATCGACAGAGGCCACCTACGGACTGTCAGTTGACTTACGGCCCGTCAGTCAGCTCCGCCTAAGGACCAGTCAACTTTTAGTTTTCAGACCCCAGATTTCAGCCCTCTACCAACCAAACAACAACTGACAGGATGGACCGTCAATCGACTTACGACCTGTCAATCAGCTCCGTCAATAGGCCGATCGACTTTTAAGTTTCAGACCCCAGATTTCAGCCCTCTGACAGCCAAACGACGACTGACAGGACGGACAGTCAGTCGACTTATGACCCGTCAGTCAGCTCTGTCGATAGGTCAGACGACTTTTATTTTAGGGGTAATAGGGTCTTTTTCTAATTATTTTATCCCTAAACTACTTCATTTTGGTCAGTTTTAGCCTATTATTCTAGTCAGATTTTACCCTAAACCATTATTCTCTAGAATTCACCAAGCTTAGAACAAAAGAGGATGAAGAGGCGACTCAAAACCCTTCCAAGAACGCAACAAGTTTTCTTCAGTTCAAGCCTCGAAATCGAAAGATTTCTCCGTGAATTTCGTCACCAGGTATGTGGGATTTCAATAGTGGGTTCCTTTCGTCCACTAGGTCCCTAGAATTCAGCCAGATTCTTGATTCCCTATATATTGTTTAAACCTAGGGTTTTTAGAACTTTAGAGAATTGTTGTGAATTAGCTGTTCTAGTATTCCTAATCAGATTATCATGTTTTCGTGAAATTGTTTCTTAGTTCTTTTCATGAAATTCAGAACCCTAGTTGTGTAGATTCTCTTAGTTCATGAATTACACTTTCTAGGTCAGTTAAACAGTTATACATGCTCTAGTTTCGAATGTATCATTGCTAGTATTTAAATGTTACATTCTCAGATTTTGCATGTCAGTATTTTAAGCTATTCAACATTTCAGTATTTCAGTCATAATGTGTCATAAACATATTCAGTTGGGAGTAGACTTAAAATCAAGTTGGACTAGGATTCAGCTTACCCATATAGTCCCAGAACTACGTGCCTCCGTAGGTTTATAAGTCTCATTTATTGGGCATCAGATTTAGTGATCACGTCATTCATGCATTTATACCCCTGGCAAGGTATATTGGGTCCTCTCGATGGGTTGTATACATCGAACAATCATGCCTTTATACCCC